TTATTTTTAGGGCACGCTTACACAGCGCTGGACGGTGTGCAGGTTCATGCTCCTATTACTTCCATCTCACAGCCGTGTTAAGTAGCTCGCCCAAGTTCCTGTAGGGATTTGACCAGAGCACCATCCTGTCTCTCATTTGTCAAGCATGTCTGAGCACTGCTACGAGCACACTGACAACCTCAGGCGCGCCGGGGTTGAATGCCAGCCCTTCTGTGTCCCCCTGTTTCTGTCGTTGTGTGCTGCAGTGGTGGAGGGTGGTGTCAGCCTCATAGAGACTCTTTCTTGATGCTCTGATCTTATCCTGCCTCATAGACCAGCCCAACAAATGCCCTTTATGGAAAGACTTGTGAAGGGGCCGGGGGAGGAGATGTAACATAATACCCAATTTTCTTCCTGCTCTCAAAGAGGCAAATGATCTAGTGAAGCAGATAAAGCAGTTGGACATACAAGGCAAGCAGCCCTACAGGAAAAAATATTATAAGAGGACATAAAAGTACAGACAAAAACGCTACTGAAGTCATTTATTGTCTCCTGCCCCTGGGTGAGCTCGTATTTTCTTTCAGTGGGAAGGGCTCTCAGTCTTGTCACCAGCTCCCCAAACAAACTTGGTTAGACTGAATCACCCTCATCCACATCTGTCCCTATTTTCAGACATTGTACATAAGTATCCACTTGGCAGTTGGTTAGTACATGTTGATGGATGGATGGATGGATGGATGGAGGAATGAACAGACACTAAGCTCACAAACATTTGACTGGTTTTCTCTGATAACCACCATGAGTATAAAATGGAATGTAACCTTTAATTTCTTAAGCTCAGAAGACCGTGCCACTCACAGATGCATCTAAACTGCATGTTATTTTCAAAATAGAGTTGTTCTAATTAATGTATTTTAAAAATATAACCCAGAGGACATCCCTTTCTAAGGACTCCTCAGGATAATTTTATTAGTTCTGCCTCTGAGGAAGCTGTATAGGATTTTTCAAATTTAATGTCTTTATCATTTACTTAAGCTCTGCTGTGAGCAATACACTGGAAGCACTGGGTCAGGTGCTGAAAGCAGTGGAGAGGTGACCCAGCACCATTCCTGTCCCGCAGACCCTTACCGTCCCAAGGAATCACCATGGTGTCACGGGCTTGGAGCTGACATCTACCAAGTTTTGAGAAAAGTCTACTCCCGGTGCCATTGCCCATCCTCTGAGGACACAGAGGCAGGATAATGCTTTCAACCATATTCACAGTTGGACACATTTTGGAATTGATGTTTTAATTCCTCTGACCCTTCTTAAAACTATCATTTTGTTCACGAACCAAAAGGCCTGGGATCTCTGAAATTCCAAATGCCTTGCAGGATTGCACGCCCTTAGATCAATTTCACAGGCTGCACTAGGAAACCAAATTGCAGCACAGGTTTTAAAGGACTTTGGTCCTTGTGTCTCTCAAGATAATGGTGAAATCGAGCTTGTCTACTGCTCTGTGCTCCCTAAAAATCAAGACACCCTTCCAAGAAAATCAAGCCAAGGTGAGCACCCGAGCTCTGTGCCCAGCACAATACATCCCGGAAAATTTCCTCATGATCCAGAGTTACTGGGGGAGAGCAAAGGGCTGGTTCTCAAAGACTGAGCCAATTATAGAGGCTCTTAGGATCTGCAGTGTTCATGGGAAAAGACAACTTGGTAACCATGTGAGCAGCCTTGTGAGCTGGTGACTGAACAATCATGGGGCTCCAAGTGTGCCTCTGATTTGCTTTGTGGCTGGGAATCAGCCCCTTTGTGTTTCTCCTTCCCCATCACCATGACAAAAGTTATTTACCAGTAGCTCCGTATAGTCTAGCATGCTTGCCGATGCTGCTAAGGGCATCTTGTCCAGCTGCCCCTGCCTGGGACTCTCCTATCATCACCAGGACCTGCTCAAGACTTGGTCCTTACAAGTGGCCCAGGGAAGTTCCTTGTGCTGGTTTCAGGGGGCCAGATTCTGAGCAGCTCATAACCACCTTACTTCCTGCCTGGGAATGCCGTCCTCCCAATTCTGCTACTCTAAGCATGTATCCACATGTAATCACTCTAAGACAAACTTAAACTGTTTTGGGTTTTTTTTCCATTATTCTCTTCCAGAAGTGAGTACACTAACAGCAAACATAAAATATAATGCAGAAAGTGAAACCTATATCGAGAACGAGTCTCCCCTTCCAGACAGGCACAAGGCAGTGAAGGAATTTCTGAGAGCCGCGACTCTGGCTGGATGTTGAGGGTCGAGCATTTAAAGCTATGACACCACGTGTGGAAAATAAACTGGCAAAACAAATTTCAAACTGGTGACATCATTCTGGCTCTGTTTCTACTACACCAGTAAAACCAGTTGGAAAAACAAAAATGGAATCAACTTAATTGTCAAGCTGACACCAAATTATGGCGGGCCTGTTGGTTTTCTTCTTCTTTTAAATAACAAGATCAAATAATCATTTATGTAAGTGTATTACCTAATTGTTCTGCTAACATGTGATGAATGACCTTCACATTTCAGTGACGATCGGCCCAGTTGCTTGTACATAAACACACCACCCCAGCACTCTCTCGTGTCATTTGTTTGTTTCAAATATTCCCTGATAGACTAAAAGGCATCCAATGACGAAACGCATAGAAAAGTAGACATCGCCCACTAGATGTTCTTGGTGACAAGGCTAAGTTCTGTTTAAGCAGCCAAATATGCTGTTTACATCATTCCCAACTGCCCAGCATTCACGAGAAATTCAAGTTCCTGCTTTAAACCCAACTGACCCTTGGGCAACATTCAAATCCCACAGGTCATAATCTGATACCCAAACCTAGTAAGAGGCAAGCATGTGATTGGGAAGAGTTGGTCCGGAGAGATGCTGCACAGCAAGCCCAACTCAGATACTCTCCTGCTCCTAGGTTTTATGACACCAACCGTCTCTTCTCTCACACACGGAGTCTTTCATCTGCCAGATTTGCAAACATCAGCCCGTAATCCTCACAGCATCCTTGTGAGGTAGGCAGGTGGTGCATGTTGCAATCCCGCATATTAAAGATGGAAAGATGATACTGATGGTAATAAAAACTAAAGCACCTCGAACAGTGTCAGCACCATCACATCAAAAGACCTGTGGCTTTCTCAGGAAAAAAAAAAAGGGCAACTGTCACATGTATTCTCATCCATTTTACTGTTTTACGCAGATGCTAATGTCCAGCTAGTTTTGAAAGTCTACAGCACAAAGAGTTGAATTACTACATTGTTCAAAGGGACAGAAAACTCTCTTGGAAATCAGGCATTCTTTTTTAAGTATTTTATTTATGAAAAACACCAGCAGAGTACAGAAATGTTCTCCTGATTCCACGTGGTCCCTGGCTGCTCCTCAGCCAGCGTGAGGAGGTGACATTCAGCCTTCCCTACTGACAAACCCTCCTGGAGGAGAGCCCTCCAGATTCATCGGAGCGCGCCGGGCACCTCCGTCAGCAGGGGAGGCGGCGCCTTGACTGAAACCAGCGCCTGGAATGGACTGATGGAGACTGTCCCTGCCTTTGGGTCTTCAACGCCCATGTAAAACTGAACTCCCCAAGACTGACAAACCTTAAACAGAACCAAGCTTTGGGCTGGGAGGGAGGAGGGATCGGGGAAGGGGGCCTCTGAGATTTCTCCCGTGTCCCAACGAGTCCTGCCTCCTGGAAGGGGAGGGTGGAGGGGGCCCTGCACCCCTTCCTGGGTCAGCTGGGGCCTGCGGCCGGGCTCCTGCGCTCGGGAACCCGGCGTCAGGACGCGGCGCTCAGCATCCCCACCCGTGCGGTGGAAACCTCTTCTCTTTTCTGCCGTCTCTTCTCTCCTCTCCTTTCCCTCGTTCTCACGTGCGCGCGGGCCACACACACACACGCCCCAAGCTTGGCACGCGGACCTCTCTCCGACCCGCTGGAGACCTGGGCCTTGCAGCGTCCCCACCCCTTTTGGAACGCCTTTTACAAGTGGGGAATCCTCCCCTGTGAGTGGAGGGAAGACAGGGGTCCAGAGCTGCCCCGGGTGGGTGCAGAGAGGGTGAAGGGCACTTTTTCCTCCTTTGGCGGCGGGGGCCCGGGCGTAGGTCTGTGAGCCCCTCGCAGGAGGAGCTGTCCTAGAGTGAGCGGCCGAGGAGGAGGGGAGGAACGGGGCCGGAGCCGGAGGCTAAGAGGGGATGAGGCTAGTGGAGGGCGGGGCAGGGCAGCGAGGGGAGTGGAAGAAGAGAGCAGAGGCAACGGAGGGGGAGGGGAGGGCCAGGGGGCGAAGAAGTGCAGAGGGCGCCGGGGCAGGGGCGGCGGTGCCCAGCACCCTTCAAGTCCTGAGCCGGGTCCCGGGAGGATCCCCAGCCCGGTCCAGGCCCCGCCCACGCCCATATCACCTCGCCCCACCCAGCCCAGCCCCCGCATAGCCCCTCCCCGTTCAGACCCCGCCCTCCCCGCCCCCATCCAGGCCTCGCCCCGCCCGATCCAGGCCTCTCCCCCCACATCGCCCCGCCCACCGTCCGGGCCCCGTCCCGCCCCAGTCCAGGCCACGGCCCGTCCCGCCCCACATCGCTCCGCCCCGTCCAGGCCCCGCCCCCGCCCGCCCCTTTCCCGCGGCGGCGCCCTGGAAATATGAAGAGGAGCTGCGGCGGTTGCGGCGGCTGTGGCCAGTGCAGCGCGGAGCGGCGGCGGCGGCCGGGCGAGCACGGGGCGGCCGGGCGCGCAGGGCCGGGCGCGGGACGGGAGGCCGGGAGCGGAGGGGCCGGGCCGGGCATGGGGCGCGCCGCGGCCGCCTGAAGCGCGGGCCTGGCCCTGTCCCCGCGCGGCCGGGCCGCGCCGCCCGGGCTGCAGGCGGGTCCCGGGAAGCTGGGTCCCCGGACGGCGGGCGGTGCGGCGCGCGCGGGCGGCCCCGGAGGAGGCCTGGAGATGTCCTGTGTGCGCCGCCTCCTGCTCACATCCCTGTTCCCGGCCCTCCTGCTTCACGGTGAGTCTGGGGGTGCCGGGAGCCGAGTGGACACCCCGGAACCGAGGGGACCGCGCGGCCGGGTGCAGCCCCCTCCTGGGCACCCTGGAAGAGGCTCGCCTTCCCGGGCGCCGGCCGCGCTCTCTCTGGAAGGGCGCGCACACAGACTTTATGTCCAAGTCCCCGGACACTTGTGTCCACTCTGCGGGGTTTCAGACTATAGGCGGTCATGGAACCGCAGTCTATGCGACCGTTTACAGAGTGTCAGAGCGCAGGCAAGGCTCTTGCTGGGGTCCAAGCTTTGGGGGCACTGTGCAGAGAACTGTGATCATTTCAGGGAAAAAGCAGCTCGGGGTGTTTGTGTTCGCCCCTCGGAGGACGAGTGTGTTGAGGGGCTGGGGAGGGGTCTCTCCCAGGTGGACCGGTAGGTTCTCTGGACGGACTTTCAGGGAGCAGGGGCCTCCTAGCAGCCAAGGTGCAGTAATTAAAACCAGTCCCCTAAGTTCTCCGGGACCTGAGCTTGTTTCCTCCCGCTCTTCTGGGTCGTTTTGTTTCTGTTTCATGTGTCACATGTCGTCAGCAGCTCTAGTAAACCCTCAGCCAGAGAACAGCAGGCTTTAAAAGAGTTCCAGGAATTGCACTGAGGAAAATAAGACAGCATTGCACCGGGGGTGGGAAGGCAGATTTTGTGGGAGATCTGTGGCGATCATGGGGGCAGGTGGCTGCAGAACACGTGCTGATCCAGATGTCCTGGGCCAGCTTTTCCTAACGGTGGACACCTGACTGTTCAGCAGAGTGTCCGCCAGGAGCAGGACTCTCCTGCCTCCACACCCACCACGGGCACCCCAAACCTCTGCACATCGGGTCATCAGGTCAGCACCCTCATGGCCTCTAGGTTTCTGATCCAGCTTCAGAAGGCATTTGGCCAGCGCTGAAGGTCAGGGGTGACTCCCACACCACCTAGGAAGGTGAGGAGACAGCAACCCGGGAGCCCTGTGCAGCTGTATTCTTTGTCACCCTGCTGGGGCTGGCAGTATGGGTAGCGCAGGTCCACAGGCCCTGCACACAAGTTGGGCTGGGCCAGACCTGCCTGATGGCCAAGGTGTGCCCGGAGCCCCAGTGATCCCAGACTTTCCAAGTCAGGATGGAAGGCTGGCAGTTCGAGGGCCAGAGAGAGAAGGTGTAATTACAGGGTTGTACTCCTAGGCCCATCTGCTTAGAATTACAGAGCCGTTTTCATCTTTGGCTGAAACATGAAACACATCAGAGCCAATGGGCAGATCAAACAACAGCTGCCACCCACACCAGAAACAAGAGGCAGAGAGAGAGACACAGGGGAGCGTGTCCCCTAAAAGTCTCCTGTCGCATCTGTGCAGGAAGATGGTCCTATGGGCAAGTGCCTTTAAAATGCAAAAGTACTTGACAATTTGGCATGAACAGAATTTTTTTTTCATAAAGCCATTTGCCTTTTGGACTACAAAAGCCATGCTCAGAAACACAGCCTGGGCCAACCCACCCTGAACTTTTCTTCCTTGTTTTGAGAGCTGGAAGTTGTAACCACACTTCCTGCACCACAGTGTGGTAACGGCTGGTAAGGGGAGCCCAAGTATATCCTCAGTGAGGTTCAAGTATAGCCCCAGATTTCCAAATTCCAGCTGGAGTCAGCCTGAGCTCCTTGAGGTCAGGGGTTCACCCAGATCCACAGTGTGCAGGGAGGGAGTAAAGAAGGGGGGAATAAGCCGGTGGGGCCAGACCCCTTGCACGTGTGCACGTGTGTGTGCACATGTGCATATGACGAAGAGTATGTAAAATAAAAAAGGAGGTTTGCCAAGTTTAATGGGATGATGGGGATAACCCTGCAAAAAGTCACCCCATCTCAAAGTGAACCTGCAGTGGCAGAGTTATTCACACTGCTGTTGCCCACAGAGCAACTGCACTCGTTCAGGGCGCGTGGGACTCCAGCACAGAGGAGAAACCGAGGGAGTGGTCCTTCTGGGTATAAATCTCTGCGATTTGAGAGAGGCTTGTCACGATTCCTTAGGATAATGTAAAGCACCAAGAAGAAATCGGGTATTCTCCGTTTCCCCCTTTTCTGCCTGATTTTTACTTGATTGAAGTCGTTTTAATGGGAAATGGGTATTAATCAACCTAACCCATGGGAATGGCTTGAGAGTGTGTCCTACTCTGTAGTTAGGGGCTTTGCAAGTATTTAAAAATTCCGTAGTAACAGATGGAGCTTGATTATGTATCTTAATAGAAGTCGTCCGTCTGAAGGACATTACCTGTACTCTTTTAGAATGGCTTCATGATTTTTTTCCTGATACAGAGGCATTTTTATTTTGCTACTTGTATATTTATGACAGCAATTAGGTAGGTAAAAACATATTTTCTATGCTTATGAATGTACTTGGGACCAACTTTACGAAATTTAGTTCCAGACATCATTTATAGATTATTTGTTACACTAACAAGTCTCATTAATAAGATTAACAAGTGCACAAGGCCTTCAGGAAGATTCTGGGTGAAGATGCTGTAGAAACTCTTTATTGTGTTTGCCATCCGATCTTTGTTCAGTTTTTTTGGTTACTTTTATTTCAACTCAGGCAAGTTATAAATCACCCCTAGGTTCTATTGGTGAGTAAATTAGGGTCTGGAAAGACTGGAGTCCATTGTTTATTTTTTGCTGTGTTTTAAAACTGTAAATGTAGTGGGAGACCCAAGTTCAAAATGTGACGGCATAAAAGTATACATGTTGGTCTTACTTTCCTGTCCTCCAGCGTCTGAGAACAATTGCATTTCTTAATCCAAGTAAAACCTATTGAATGTCATGAAGGTATGCAGCTGGGGTATGTCCCTTGTCACTGTTTTATTTGCTTAGATGAAAAGCCACGAAAATCATTCTGTTCCAGAAACCAGATTAACATGAGATATTTCAGGAAAAGTGGTGCTTTAATGTGCCCCAAAGTGCTCATTCTCTTTATTAATGGAAACATTTGACTTTAAGTTTTGGAGCCGTTGTTGGGGAGATGTTCTTCCATCGCCATTTACTTTTGTAGAATTCATCAACTTTTCTGAAATGGGAAGATACTTCGGAGCTATCACCTTTCACTTGAGTGTATTCTACTAAAACTGAACAAACAAACAAACTGTGGATTACCGAATGACTGCTTAACCAACAAAATGTGAGGAAACATTACAGTAGGGTAAAGTAGAATCTTTGAAATATCATTTTACTGGAGGCAGTTTTTGTGACCAAGAAAACATTGCCTTCCTCCACTTTTTCCCCCTTAGTCATAAAATGTAATCTTGAAAAGAAATATTACTCATCTGCTCATAGCAGGGAGCAAGGGTCTTAGACAGATGGTAAATATTCTCTTTTGAGAGAAACTGACTATCTTCAAGCACGTGGCTGAGCCGTCCCGTCATAGCCGTGGTCCTTCTTTTTCTCCCTAAAGGAGTAAAGAACTCAACACCAGCGGATGATAGGACTGTGTAAATACCTACCGTTTAGGGTCAGACTGATGACAATTTGATAGAATCAATTAAAGGGAAGCATAAAACTTTTAGGACTGGAAATATGAAGGGACTCATTAGTGATCTCGTACACCTGTGGAAAGCTGACATGGCAGCACGTGGCCTGTGCGCGGCATTGAAGCGATCCCAAGGAAAAGCTCAGGAAGAACCTGCCACCGTCCGAGCATGAGCTCTTGCTGTGTCCAGATGTTATGTGCACAGACCATTGAGTTCTTTTCAATTTGGGTTCATATTGGGAGTAAAGTTATTTTGAAATGTCATGTGATAGGGATCTAGGTCAGAGTAAGGATGTGGTGTCACCCTGTAGTGACTGAGGCTCGTGTGTTCTCGAAGGGTTTTCTAGCTTCATTCCTTCAGCCAACCATTTGGTCAACAGGTACATTAAGAGGGCCTCCTGCGTGCCTGTGTCACTGCCGGCTGGGGACAGGGCTGTGAGGAGGGGCAGCCCCCCTTCCTGAAGAGGCCTGAGAATACCTGGCAGGATGAGAAGAGCTTATTGGAGAGCCCAGAGGTGGGAGCCTGGCACACTGCCCTTGACTGCGGTGTTCTTCCCTGCTGGGAATCCCAGCACTCCACACACACACGCACACCCCCCACACATCATGCACACACCAGACACACAAACACACACATACCATGCACGTAGTCAGACACGCCATACACAGACGCATACACACACATACGCGCACACACACACACACACACACACACACACACACACACACACACACACGACTGTGTGAAGAGCACAGCTGTGGCGGCAGCCATCAGCTCCAGGCCCAGCAGGAAAACCATGTTGTCTGTGGTTGGACCCCAGTGTCTGGCCCGGTGACCATGGCCTTAGAAGAAAACGACTTAGAAAATTACCTCATTTTCATCAAAAGTTAAATGAAGCCAGGAATCTGAAATCTTGACTTTACTATGTTTCTCATAAAGGGAAAGTGCTTTTAGATAAGGTTTAAAGATTGGCAAAAGCAGCTCTCTCAGCTTTGATCTCCAACAACATGGAAATAAAAGCAAGCGCTTGGTGAGTGTAGGTGCCCACCTGGGAGTGAACGGCAGCTTTTGTTCCAAAACATGGAAGCTGTGCAGGCGGTCACGTAGCCGCCTCGACTTCACAGCCCACATTACAGTGATGATGGCTCTCTTACCGGGGCTGGGCGATTTCACGGCAAAGTCATCACCTGCATTTCCCCTCATCGCTCCCGTTTTCTCTGCTGCGTGTTTTTCTGCATCGCACCAGTTCCACCGTGAGATGCTTCCTCACTCTGGTGTGGGATTGACGCAGGTCACGTTGTATCAAGGACAGAAACGTGCAAAGTGAGCGGGAAAGGGCCTTTCAGAGACCCTCTCAGAGACCACCATTGTGAATGTCTTGACATTATATTTATTTGGCCGTTTTGATTTTATTTTTTTAAGCATTAAAGTACCTATGCAGTGACTAACCCGATCAAAGATGAGTTCATTCCCAAGTGTGCCTGAAAAGTGTCTCCTTCCGAACTCAGTTCACATGTTATTGTGCGTAAAGTGCTTTGGTGCTTTGGGTTCTCGATCTAGATAGACAGGTGAAAAGCTGCTGAGTACATCAAGAGGATTCTCCCAGGGACTTGGCCACACGCCGTGTTCCTCCCTCACTTTTCCCTTCACGTGTCAGCGATGGGGCAGGCCTTGGAGACGACCTCACACGCAGTAGGCCCTCAGCCACCTGCTGAAGGGACAACTCAGGGTCTCTGCTCCATCCCCTGCCCCATGCCCTTTGTCTTCTGCCTGGTCCCTGTTGGTGGCCTGGTTCGAGGGCTCAGGAATAAGCGTTGCTGCAGGCGACGGAGAAATACTGCATTTATTCCCTTTGAAGCCTGTGCTCAGGGCTGCTTTCTGTGTGCAGAGTCTGGTGACTTGGGTGATGCCAACAGTCACCTGGCCTCACGGGCCTTGAACTTAGGGTACAGATGCCCATGTAAATGGTTAATCCTGTGCTTCCTCTATTTGGGGAAATCTGGTTTTTTATTTGCTATCTCTGGGTGTTTTCACTCTCTGAACAGTAGACTGGCAATCATGGTAGTAGTAAAGATCATTCTGGAGTCATTTAGGATTTCTGTTGTGAGTGATTTCATCCGTGGAAGTGAAAAACTCTTACACACACACACACCCGCGCATGTGATACACCCTCCAGAACCCAAGGAGCTCATGTAGTTCTGCAAAGGGTCATCTATAAAATTGTCCCCTAAAGCCTTCGGGAATTAATTTGTTTTCAACAGGAGAACAATTTCCTTCCAGGGTCTACATTTTTCTCCCACCCGTACTTGAAAGAAGCTGCCCCCTTGTCATAACCATTTGATCTGGGCCCAGGCCATGGGACCCCGGATGTTGGAGACCATTTTGTAGTGAAGTCACTTTGATAACCTGCTTCATCAGAACGCCACTGGTCGGGGCGGTGCTGTGGTGGCTCCCACCGGCGCTGGTATCGGGGCCTGGCTGTTCGTAGAACCCTTGACGTGGAAGGCTGGTTCTCCACCCGCTCCCTTCTGTTCCCGTGTAGTAACTGGAATTTGATAAATGAGATAATATAGGCGTGAAGTGAGCCTCGAGTGTTTTACAAACATTAGTTATTATCCCCATTACTGTAATGTTCACTTTGTACAGGGGAACGAAAGGCACCTATCCGATGACTTAGCCAAAGTCACCTTGAAGCCTGAAAACTCAGTCCCTTTCTTACTGCACTGATGTTGTTTAACCCTTCGAGATGCCCTTTTCCTTGGATTCATTTACAGCAAAAATCTTAATGAATGGAGCCCAATGAACTAGTCTTTGCAACTGACCAAAATATCTAGAATCCTCAGTTCGTCAAAGTCTTGATGTTATTGTGTGTGCCTCCTCACTCGTATGAGAAACACAAGGGGAAAAACCCTCTCTTGGACTAAATAGGGTTGTCACCTGTCCACCCCACTAGCTCTGTATCCAAAGCAACATCCCACAGGCACTGATGTTCCTAACGGTTACCTCACTGTGATCTGCCTTAAGAGCCTGAAAGATCATAATGTCAACTGCACTCGACGTTGAATAGCAGAATTATCGACAAACAAATATTGTGGTTAGTCAGTACTTCTGATTATACAGATAATCCAATCAAGTGAAGGTTTTTAAAGGTATTATATATAATAAGCACATTTATTATTATAACTAATAAGTACACTCAGGCAGGAACTGTTATTACAGCTAGTCACCACCCTTAAGTTGGATGTTTATTTATACAATTGAAGATGTATGAAAGTGGACATACAAGTATTTTGCAAAAGTCTTTTTCCGGATATAGTGCTAAATTAGTACAGACCCTTACTTTCCTCTCTCTGTCTTTCCCTCCCTCCCTTCCTTCTTTCCTCTCTTTTCAAATAACTTTTTGGTAATACCTTTCCCCACAACATGCCAAAGATGGTCAGTGCCTCTCCGGGACCACCAAAAAGATTTACTGGTTTGTTGAAAGCAGTTCCCTTCTCTTATCTTTCTCATTTATTCAGGCAAAAATGATGCACTGAACCATGGCAGAAGCTTCCTAATTGATCTTCCTGCTTCTTAGCCCTCCAAAAAAAGGGAAAAGCAGTCTTTTCAAAATGGAATCCTTATCCTGCGTTACATTGCTTACAAGCTTTGGGTGGTTCCTCTTCCCTGTTTCAGCCCAGTCCATGCTCAGGATGACGCACTCACAGCTCTTGATCACAGCCTGGCCTCTGTTTTGCCACTGTTCCCTCCTGGGCCACCCTGCAGTCTCCCCTCCCTAAGGCCTCTCCATCCTCCCTGCACGAATCTCCCGCCCCTCCTTATGTTGGGCATGTGCTATATAAACGCTGCCTGGACCACTTCTGTTCAGTCTTCAAGGCATAGCTGCCTGCTCCCTCCATCTTTCTGACTCTCTTTATAAGTCCATTGGGATCCTGATTTCTTCCCCAACTGACGATTCCTTGGGGCATAATGTTTGTAGCTTCTGTGCCTGCACAGTGCCTGGCCCTGCAGAGAGTCCTTTCTGATTGTTTGAATGAGTGAGTTGCGAGTTTCAGTCTCAGATTTGGAGCTGACGTAGTTCTGGCGATGCAGGAACATGGGGATCCCTGGGTTGACCAGAAGTCTAAGGCTGGTCTCCTTGGAGGGCACCCATGGCTGATGCTGAGAAGGAAGTCGTGGAATGTAAGGCGAGAGCGTTCCACATGGCCTCCCCCGTGGCTGAACTAGGTGCTTCAAGTGGCCTTTTCATTCCCAGCCATTTACTAGAAGGAGGCCTCACATGGGGGCGGGGGGGGGGTGTAATCCACGTCCCACACCAAATAAGCCAATAAGTGTTGGTGACCCCTGTCCATACTTGACCCTAAGAGACGGCTTCTCTTGCCTGACAGCAACGCCTGCTGTCACTTGACCCTTTTAATTTTGCTCCCTAAGGGTCATTGAGGTGGTGGGTATTTCAAAGGAAAAAGATAAAAAGAGAATAAATTCCAACCCTATTTTCCCATCCTAAAAGTTCAGTCCCACCCTCGCGAGTGAGCTCTCAGCCACTGTGTCCTGGGGAGGGGCTGGCTGTCGAGTCCTCCATCTGGCTGTCCTGCTGGCCTCCTGGGCCGATGGCCTTGCCAGGTCCCTGACGTTGGCTCCTGTCTGACAGGAGCAGTAGCAAGACGGAGCTTGGTCTCTGGAAACCCTGAGTGACGTAATCTTCTGCCTGCTTTCTAATGATGTGCAAACGGGTGGTTCTGGGATTTTATGTCTTCCCCACCCCATGGTTAAAAAGCTGACTGTCGGCTCCAGCCTCCTGCACAACCGTGCAGGTCCTGAGCACCACGGCCCCTTCCTTTGCCTCTGAACCCACCTCCTGCCCAGACCCCACCATCCCACCCTAGTCCTAGGACGTGCAGTCCAAGTGAGACCTTAAGAGCCTCCGGGTCAGAAAAACTTATCTTCAATCTTCTTTATGCTTCCAGCCCCTAAGCTACACAGAGCGGCAGCATGTAGTTATTTGTTAAACCGAGTAGAGCTTGTTACCACCCCTGCTCTCCATTCGGGTCACCAGTTAGTTGGCTGCCAGGAGCCCGGGCCTCGCTCTGTGCGCACTGTCCCTCCAGAGCGCAGAGCGAGCTGGGCTCCAGGAGACTCTTACCATTATTCCAGCCATTCTGTTAGTTAGGAAGGCCTTCCTCAGGACCTCCAAGAGCCTTACTCATCATTTAAAATAATAGTAACTAACGTCTAACAAGAACCATGAACCATGTGCTAAAGGAAATGATCTCAGTGGATCCTGAGACCAACTCCAGGTGACGGCAGTGCTGTCACCCGCTCCGTACAGATGAGCACACTAAGGCTTGGGGGAGTTAAGTGACTTGTTTATGGTCACAGTGCTGATCATGTGTTTCATCGATTGTAGGATTTACAGTTTTTCATGTATAAGGTCTGGGCAGTGTGTGTGCATCTCCGGTGGGTGGGGCCTCTGGCCCCTGTGAGCCTGCAGGTGGCAGTCATGCCGCAGACCTGTCATCGCCTGTGTGAACCTGGACCCATACTGTCCTCATGTCACTTCCTCTGTGTGTGTCCTTGTTACTCTCCATCTATGGTTTAGTTGCCAATAGGTTGGTTTTGAAAATAGAGTAAACACTGCAGCCAAGTGTTAGAATTCACTTGTAAACTCCACTCTTAGCGCTGAAAAGAAAAACAGTGTGGAAATCAGGCAGCCCAGTAACAGAGCCAGGGGTGTCGGTGTAACATCAGTGGGGCGAGTATTTATCATGGTGAGGGGGGTAGTAACTGCACTTACGTATTTTCTCACCGAGAAACAGTTATTTGGAAAGAAAGATGCCACAAAAAGATAAGGCTGTGTTTGAGCCTTGTTGCCAAGATTCGTGCAGAGCAAACCGACTACCTGTCCTGAGTGAAGCGTTGCAGCTGAAGGCCAGACACGGTGCCAGTTCTCTTTGGAGAGAGAAAGCAGTTGGAGGCCCTGTGCGTGCTCCGAGGGTGTTGGGACTGCTGCTAAGGCAGGTGTCATCGTTTAAATGCAAGTGTTTTTGTCGCTGATAATAAAATAATGATGCATCTTAATCATTGAAATCTTGGATTTGATGAAATCCTTTAAGCGGCTGATCTAGTTTCAAACCCAAGCAGCCCAGCTCCAGAATGTCACCGATATCCGCTCCCCTCCCGGCTCTCCTTAGCTTTACGGGAAAACATTTGCGGGGTGTAAAGGGGTTTATAACTCAATTTTTAGTACGTAGCTTGGTTGATCGTGAGAGCATGACCTCTACTGAATGCTGGGGTCATCTTTCAAGAAGACTCTTCCGCAACTCCCAGCGCTTTGTGACGAGTTAAGATATGTATCTTTGCCACGTTACAATTTATCATCCAGTTGGCCCACCAGATGGCAAGTTGTACTGTTTGATTTCATTCCCGACAGGGAATTCAGGAAGTGCTTCCTATCAACAAGATGACCACAAATCTTGGGGTTGATGGAGGTATCCCCCCGTCCTCTAGTTTAAAGCTAACTGAGAGAGATCAGCACAAGTGCCAGACAAATGGGGATTAAAATGCTGGAATTGGGATAAATACCCCATCAGAAGTCACAGTACAGGTGGATGTCCATGTAGGATTGCCAACAGGTCACCCCTGCATTTTCCAGACTTTCCACCTGGCTCAGTGCCACAGCCCAACCACTGAAGGGTCCTTACTATGGGGGTGGGAGGGGGCTGATCAAAATGCACGTATTTTATGTATTTTGAAAACAGGCTGGTTTTGCAAAGAAACAGAGAAAAATAGCCCAGTTAGCAGGCTTGTTTCCTTCTTCTCTCTGGGGAGGGTCAGGGACGGAGCACCCAGGAGCACTGTTTCAGTGGAAGTGCCTTCCCTGGGGTGGGAGCTCGAGGCCACGGAGGGGGTCCTCGCTTAACAGCCCTGAGCATTAATGTCTACTCCACCTGACACAGATTTCTGAGTTTTAGTGTCACCCTTGTTCTAGCTCAGGCGTGACTCACCTGGTTTGGCTGAATGGGGTTGCTGGTGAGGTTGCGTTTAACATTCATTGCAAAACGATTGCCGCAGTTTCATTAGCATCCATCTTTTATTGTTGTACGTTTGTCTAACTAGTGTCGTTTTTTTTTTTTTTGCTAACACAGTGCTGAATTCCTAGTAGGTCCACAATAAAGACCTCTCAGATTGTGAGTCACTTCAGGAGTGAATCTCAGATAACTCCATCTGTTTTCCTTGCGTTTTCCTGCACACGAGGCTGGTGGTACTTTTGCATGTGTGAATTTTGGCCAACCCGGACGACGTGAAGATAAACTTAGTCCTAGTGTCCCTTTACCCGTGGAAAATACAGATGTGCAATCAACCCTGTAACATGTGTGTGTTTGTCACCAACTCTAAGGGGCAGCCTTGGAAGATCACTGGGGGAAATGCCACACCTGAGCCCTTAGAGGGCGGGCGTAGGACTTGCACCCCCTCCAGAGGGCGTCCGTTTGGGGATTGAGAGACCCCGAGGTGCATGAGGTGGTGCGGGCAGAAGGGAGTCCCCACTGTGGGGCGCCTCCTAGCTGTTCCCTGGGCCTTTCTCCCCGTCTCCATTCACCCTTCACTGAAGTTGCTGGCCTTCTGCCTTCCTGTCTGTGTGTCACTACACCTGACCACCCTTCCTGACTACCTTTTCTACCTGTCCCCTCAACCCCATCTCCAGCCTTGATGACTCTGGAGCACACAGTTCTGTCCCCTGCAGCCCTGCACAGCTGCTCGTGGGATGCACGGCCTTGTTTGCAGTTTCATGGACCTGGGTTTGAGCTCAGGCTTTGCCAGGAGCTCGCCAAGCGACCTCATGCAAATCACATTCGTTATCTCCACAGACCCCAGTTTTCTCACCTGGGAGAGGATCTCCTGGGACACTGTAGAATGTGAATTCTAGGAGAGCAAAGACAGTGATAAAACCTGGCATTTCCCACCTGTGGGATGTCCCCGCCTCGGGGACAGCTCCTCAGCTGGCCTCACGTCTCTGCAGCTCCCCTGACACCTGCCTTGCGTGTATCTGTTTCAGGGCTGGGAGAGGGCTCTGCCCTCCTTCATCCGGACAGCAGGTCCCACCCTAGGTCCTTGGAGAAAAGTGCCTGGAGGGCTTTCAAGGAATCCCAGTGTCACCACATGCTCAAACATCTCCACAATGGTGCCAGGATCACTGTGCAGATGCCACCTGCCATCGAGGGCCACTGGGTGTCTACCAGGTAAGAGGCTGGGGCGGGGGTCCCGGGAGGTCCTGGAGAGCGCACTGCTATGCAGAGCCTTCTTAGGGTTTCTCAGGTGCACAGAGACTTTGTAGAATTTACAGTGATTCTGGGGTTGTCTGAGTTCTAACTCACAGCCAAGCGACGCTTTGAAACTCGGGTTGGTGAAGAAACAGAGCTCAGTCCTGTTGAAATCTTAGCCTCAGCAGCGGTGATACGGTGCCACTGTATCCCACATGGGAGTGAATATGTCCTTCTTTATTGAACCCCGTAGGACCACTCCTGTATGAAAAGAAACCATTAGCAAGTGAAATTAGGAGTCTGTGTTTCACCAACCCTGAAGCACGACTTGCAAGCTTCTGATGGTCTAAATATTCTAGCCATATTCTGGTAATTTAATATACAGCTTCAGGGTCTGAGAGTAAGTTAAAAGGTACCCATGCTACCTCAACCAGCCAGGGTGCAGCTCTTGGCTTCTTTTCCAGGCTGTGGAGCTGAGATTTATCCCAGTTTGAGCTCTTGCTTATCTTCCATTAGAGCTTTTAAAAATAGCCCAGAGGCATACCTGCAATCTCTTTCCTGCACATTAAATTGTTGCAAATTCACAAGGCTAACGGTGGGATCTGATCACTTCTGTGCAGACCACTCCTCCAGGTACCTTGGGGAGGGATCACAGGCATCCAGAGAAGAAAAAAAAATCTTACGAGGAAGACCTAGCGGATTTTGGTTTTTTCCTAAAAATGGGGTTTCTCAAAATAACCGCATGGTCAGTATTGGCACAAACAATCTTAACGCGACGTACTTTTAAATCATTTTGTTCAACAAATATTTCTGGAGCTCACAAATATTTACCGCACGTGAGCACTGTTCTAGATTTTGTGTGTATAGCAGCGAACCAAACAGACATGGCCCCTGTCTTCGGGAATTTTACAAATACACAAAGAAGTGTTACGAAGAGGGAAGAAACAACAGGTGCTCAAGGAGAATCCCAGGGCCCCTATTTTAGGACAGGGTGGGGTAGGAAGGGCTACCAAGAAGAGGACACTTGAGCTGAGATGTCCTTGGCTGTGCAAGACCAGGGAAGAGCTTTCCCTGTGGGAGGACTAGCAGAGGCTGGACCGGAGAAGCACGGACAGGAGCCCTTGTTCTGGGGGTGGGGAACAGCCCCAGGCAGGTCAAGGAGGAGGCGGGGCCAGCCCCCAGGGCCCCCTGCACGCCTTGTCTCTTCGAGTTTGGCTTTTAATCTAAGAGAACTGGGACGTCATTGAAGAGATTTCAGCAAGGGCTGTGCTCAAACCTGATTCAGCATGACTGAAGGGCGCTCTGGCTGCAAGTGGGTGGTGGGAAGAGTGACTTGGGGACAACCAGGGTTCTTGGCCTCCTTAATCCATAGAAGTTGATAAGAGGCCAGACAAGAAATTCAGGCCAGGCTTTATTGGGGCCCCTGGTGCAGCAAGGGGGAGCAAGAACAAACAACAGGTTCCCTTGCTTCCCAAGGAAGGGCGAGCTGGTTCCTTGTATGGGGTGAGGGTAGGGGCAGTTCCAGGGGTGGGGCCGGAGGCGTGGCTCAGGCGGTCTGCCCACCCCTTGGTGATGTTGAGTGCAGGGGGCAGGTGCAGTACCCTGCTTTGCTCCTGACTCTTCAGAAGTGGCAGTTGGCTTTTTGGTCTCTTTGTATCTTGTTATCCATAATTTGCCCCAACTGAGCATGCGCGCAGCTATTTTTAGTCTCTTATAGTTTCTTTGTATTTTGTTGCCCGAGGAGACGAGTGTTCAGGTACAAGCACTGCAGCAAAAGGGTCCCAGGTCCCAAATTGTTTCAACTTGGGGATGACCAATTAAAAGACTCAACAGTCCCAGCTGGAGATGACCAAGGCCTGGGTGAGGGGCGTCGGGGATGGGGCGATGGAGAAGTGAGTGGGCTTGAGCTTGGGACCAAATCAACAGATTCTCAAGCTGAGATGAAGTGTTAGAAGTCGGCGATCCTCCTGTCTGAACTGCAACAGACATGAATCGCTGCTCACACGGAAGGACTCCTCTGTCCCTGGGAAGGAACATGGGCTTCCTCTCCCTCCTGTCACAGAGACGGATGCCCAGAGCACCTCTGGCTGCTGTCTGGCGGTATCTGCGGCAGGTGACAGTCTTTACTGAGCTCATGGTACCCACTTCTAAGTGACCCATTCATCAGTTTGTAAACTAATAGTAGTTTTGAGAACCACTGGCCTTTGGAATTTCAGTCCCACTGCTCGGTTTCGCCACTCAGCTCAAACCAGAACTACTGTATCTAATAAGTTTATATATAAATAATAGACACAAGCAGGGTTATACGGCCAAGACTGATAAGACTGAAGTCTCAATGTCACTGAGACTAGGATCTGATTAAAGGTGACGAGTGGACAGATTCTTTGCCCAATGCAAGGAAGGAAACCCCCTCATTTCCTGATGTGGGCCGTGCTGCAGTTGTAAAAATTGATTACAGTTAGACCAGATGAGGAAGGTCCCATCCAGGTGTTTCTGGCCTAGGCATCCAGCCTTTACCTGATGCCACAGCAGAAAACATTTTGCAGACTTCCCTGGTGGCAAGGTGGTTAAGAATCTGCCTGCCAATGCAGGGAATACAGGTTCGATCCCTGGTCCGGGAAGATCCCACATGCCGCGGAGCAACTAAGCCCATGTGCCACAACTACTGAGCCTGCACTCTAGAGCCCACAAGCCACAACTGCTTAGCCCACGTGCCACAACTACTGAAGCCTGCACTCCTAGAGCCTGTGCTCCGCAACAAGAGAAGCCACTGCAATGAGAAGCCTGCGCACCGCAACAAAGAGCAGCCCCCGCTCGCCGCAACTAGAGAAAGCCCGCATGCAACAACGAATACCCAATGCAACCAAAAATAAATAAATAAATAATATTTTTAAAAGATATTAATATTAAAAAAAAAAGAAAACATTCTGCCACTGTCGGCAGCACAACCGAAGGAGCCCTACCTGCCTCTTTATTTTCTGCTAGAGGGAAAACTAATTTTGACTGGATGGGGTAAGAGATGAATTTCCAGTGGCCTCCAAGGGGTGCCTCCCTGAGACTAGATTCCGTTCCAGGACAACAGACACCTGGCACCTGGCTGCTGTGGACACGGTCCAGATGATGGAAGCGGTCAGGAAATCAACATCTCTGACAACACAGGGAGCATCTTTCCTAGGCCAGCCCCGCACCCTCCTTCCTCCTTCTCGCCTGGGAGTGAGGCCAAGGGGGCCGCTGAGGACGGCAGGTTCCTGCCCTTCTGTCTTGTCCATAAAGTGAAAGGAGGACAACCCCGGTGTAGAGTGACCGGGAGCACGGGTGCTGGGCCAGGCTCCCCCGGGCTCACATCTGGCTCCAGTGCTGGCTGGTGAGGGGACCTTGGACACATTGCCTCAGCTCTTATGCCTCAGTTTCCCTATCTGTAAAACAGGACAGTAATAATACCCACCCTTATAGCACAGGGAACTATACTCAATATCTTGTAATAACCTATAATGGAAAAGACTCTGAAAAAGAACAAAACTGAATCATTCTGCTATATACCTGAAACATTGCAAATCAACTATACTTCAACAACAAAAAAAATAGAGAATAAAATGATCCTTGGGATGTAAATAATAATAATAATAATACCCCCCATCCCCCAGCTCATAGGTTTCTGTGCGGGTTCCATGAACTGCCCGGAGTACCATCCTGTTATCATTACCGTGATCTCCTGGCACTGTGATGAGCCTCCTCCTCATGGCTTTGGGCTCACAGGTGTCTTCCTCCCCCTTTTCTGCAGCTGTGAGGTGCGGTCGGGCCCCGAGTTCATCACCAGGTCCTACCGGTTCTACCACAACAACACGTTCAAGGCCTACCAGTTCTACTATGGTGGCAACCGCTGCACCAGCCCCACCTACACACTGGTGGTCCGCGGCAAGATCCGCCTGCGCCAGGCCTCCTGGATCATCCGTGGCGGCACCGAGGCTGACTACCAGCTGCACCGCGTGCAGGTCGTGTGCCACTCAGAGGCTGTGGCGGAGCGGCTCGGCCAGCTGGTCAACCGCACGTGCCCTGGCTTCATGCCCGCTGGGGGTCCCTGGGTGCAGGACGTGCCCTATGACCTGTGGCGGGAGGAGGGCGGCCGCGAGTGCACCCAGGCCGTGAACTTTGCCATGCACGAGCTGCAGCTGGTCCGCGTGGAGAAGCAGTACCTGCAGCACAACCTGGACCGCCTGGTGGAGGAGCTCTTCCTGGGTGACATCCACACTGACGCCTCCCAGAGGATGTTCTACAGGCCGTCCAGCTACCAGCCCCCGCTGCAGAATGCCAAGGTACCCCTCACACCCTGCATAGCCCCTGGTGGGGTGGGGCTCTGCATCATGGAGGGGCTGTTGGGGGGGACGGGGGTGGGAGGGCTGCAGGTTGGGTGGGGGGACACGTAGCCCAGTCAGGAGGCCTGGGTGGGCCACCGCCTTGCTCTGTGATGGGGCCTCGGTTTTCCTATTTGATGAGGGTGGTGGTCCTAGGACTGGTGATGCAGAACAGCCTTGGTGGTCGTCCTCGAAAATTCCTAAGGCTCCCTTCTGCCCTGACCCTCTGGGAACTTCTTCTGTGCGTCTAAGAGGAAAGCTTGCAGGAAACGTGGAGATGTTTAACCTATCTGGGAAGATGCCCAGCAGGGATCCTGGCCCTGGGGCCGGGGGCAGGGACAGTGCTGCTGGCCTGGGGCTGTGGACCCTTAGAACCTCCTGTTTCGTCTCCACAACGACCCTGTGAGGCAGTGACGACCACCTCTTAGCAGAAGAGGGGGCAGCTGAGGTGCGAGGGGTGGTCTCCTGCCCAAGGTCACTGCTTGGTGAGTTTCAGGGCTGGAACTTGCCCCCAAACCTTTCCCCAGACCCCACTGGACTATTTCCCCAAATCCCACACTCTTCCCATCGGACTAAGTGAGAAATCACTGTGACCCGAGGGGAGGATGGAGGGGGCAGGAAACAATTAAAACCTTCTAATGTTCTTTTCTTAAATGATAGTCCCTGTAATTACACTTGGAATTCTCCAGGCATTTCCTTCCCACGGGCTCAGAGTCCGTGTCTGCACGTAACAGGGTCATTACCACCGCAGAAGCTGGGGAGGCAGGAAGGGGGCCTGGGGGGCAGCGGCTTTCTCCCACCATCAGACCGGCCCACCATCAGACAGGCTTTTCTGGACTCCTTTCTAGAACAGCAACTCTCCAGTTGCAGGGCTTGTCCAACTTTTGTTTGGTGGTTTATTTGTTTTTAAAGCATCTGTTTTCTTCTCAGTCCTTGGAGCGCGCTCATGCCTGGTGAGGGTCCTGCTGGTACTGCCCCCGCCGGACCACTCGGTTGTCTTCTTTCTGTCTGTTACCGCGAGCTTGTGTCGTGAAAGTTGCCTTTATGATGACTGTGGGGCGTCTGCCAGGAGGCCGAGCGGGCAGGGAGGCTTCCTCTGGATGCGCATCTCAGGGACATCCCCTCCCCGTGCCGAGGGGACGCTGGGCTCCGCGCAGACCCCGGCCAGGTCTGCTGTGCTGTGCCCTGCGCGTTCTAGAGGCGCCAGGTGAGGCAGGGCTGCGAGGGAGAGGGCGGCCCTCCTGCCCCGGGGACCTCAGGCGTCCTCTCAGGGAGCGGGCGGGCAGTGGGCTCTGCCTGCTTCACAGCCGATGCAGAGGCACCAAGGTGGGACTCTGCCTAGGGACCGCCAGGGCGAGGGCCCGGCTTCTGGGAAACGGAGGAACCGTCGAGGGACCTTTGCAGGCGGCCGCCTTATCCAGACGCTGCAGCTTAACGACGCTTCTCTGCAAACTCCTGGTGTCAGGTGGCAGCGAGAACGGGATTTTCAGACATGCATCTGGCTTTCTATGAGCACAGTCGAGCCAACATTCACATTATCTCCGGGAGTAGGGGTGTCGTGAGTGAAAACGGTCTGCAGCTCATCCAGAAACCCCATGGGAGGCAGAGCCCTGACCCAGCCTGGCCTGAGCCTGTGGGAGGATCCTCCCAGGAGCAGAGCCTTCATCCCTGCTCACCTTCCAGCGAGGATGCTGGTGAGTAGGGTGGCCAGGGCCCAGGAAGGAGAGAGGAGGCTGGATGGAGGCCCCCTGCCCAGAGGAAGCAGCAGACAGCCTGGACCAACTGGCTACCACTCTGAACCTGACCTTGGGCTGTTGGTGCACGTTGTCGGGTCCAGACTCCGTTTCCTCACCTGCGGATGCCCACGTGGGCTCTTTGATCTCTTGAGCTCTCCTTAGGCCTGGAAAAGAAAGCAGTACCCACAACCACCTTTCTTGCCTTACTTCCGTCTCTGCCACTCCTCTCACTCCCATTTTCTCTTCCCTCCTCTGCAGGGGCAGTTGTGGGACCGTCTCCCCAGATTCTTAAGAAGTAAACTCTTTAAACCCTAGGCCACAATCCCTCATTCAAGAAATATTAAGGGTGGAAAGAACCTTGGATCTTGGAGATTATCCAGGACACACTGTTAAGCTTTTTTGTTTTAAAGGAAGGTACAGAACAGCATGAACAGTGTGGTGCCATGTGTTAAGCTCGTAATAGAAGAAGAAGGTAAGCTGAACCGGGAGCCAGTGTTTCTGCAGCGGAACAGCGATGGCCTCAGAGGAGGGGGACAGTGTGGCCGGGGGAAAGATACTTGTCACCGTGAACGTTTCTGTCCCTGCTGTGACTTGTGCTGTGATCTTATACTACCCAAACTCCATCGCCACGCTCAAAACAGATTCCAAAAAGGCAGGATTCTGAGGCTCGGAGGAACGCTGTGGCCACAGAGGAAGCCGATGAAGAGGCTGGGCGGACGCAGGCCGGCGTCCAGGACCTGGCCTGTGCTCTCCCCCGAAAGCCGGCCCAGGTCCGCGTGGCTCTGGGAGCTGAAAGGACCCGTTCTTCTCCTGTTGTCCCTGGCGTGTGCATCCTGGCCTGCAGTGAGCAAGCAGTCAGGAAGTTTTGAGATCCCTCTCCAGGCCGGCTAGGAGAAGGGATCAGTGGACTTGGCCGCTGGTGCCTTTCCAAAGCCCCAGGTGCTGCCTGCCCGCTGGGCTCCTGCAGACCACCCACCCCCCGGGAAGGAGGAGGGCTGGGGGCGCATCCGGACAGACCACAGGCCTCGCCAACCCCTCTGAACGCTTCACCTTCCCTAATCGCCGGTCCATAGAGACCTGGCTGAAAATTAGTTTAAATGCTAAATTGAGTTTAAAACGACTAGTCTCAGCCCCTCTGGAAACGGGACACCTTGTAAAAATAGAGATTTTAAATCAACTTGATTTTCTAAGGTTTATACAGCTTTGCTGTGAGGTTCAGAGCCCTTCGGCAAAAAAAAATGATGTTTGAAGAGAATCAGGTGAGCTGGGAGGATTCTTTCAGGATGAAGTTGGCTACTCTTCATTAAAAAAAACAGGACCCCCTAAAATAACCCTGAAAGAAGATGCTTTGCTCGAATCGAGTTTAGCATCAGGGCAGCCCTTACCCTCTGCCTGGATTCCTGTGCGGTGGAGGGTTAGCCAGGTGCCCTCTTTCCTTGGCAGAATCAAAAGTAATTAAGAGCAAATGATTGCTGGGGTCATTGGAAACGCCAGGGCCTCAGGATCATACTTGCAAGCAAGCAGAATTGGTCTTTTTCCAAAACCCTGCACTGATGAGGCCACAGGGCCGTAAATCAAAGGGCTTGCCTGCAAACCAGACCGCTCTCCCCAAGCCACGTCTCTGAGAGAGCCTGCCTGGAACGCCGATAGTGGGTGGGGCTGCCCGTCGGAGGCGGAAACACAGCAGAGTGTTTTGGGGGTGCCGGACCGCTGGGAGGAAGCAGGGGTACTCATGTGCTTTCTCTCCTAAGTTCCCTGCAGGCCTCTGGACTGTGAACAGTCATTTGTTTTTGAGGGAGCTTGTCTTTCCTAGCCTCCTCAGAGCATGTGGGAAATACAGATTTATGGGGACATCTGTGACACCTGAGGGACTTTGGACCACGTGGCTGTGGACGTCGGAGTTTCCGCCCAGCTCCAGGAGGCAGCTCTGCAGCAGGGAGGGGTCTCTCCTTAGGCACGTGGCTGGTGTGGCTCCCGGCGGGGTGGGTAAGTGGGTGTCACAGGTGCACGAGTAGAAGGATCCAGAAGCTCACGGAGGAATCGCTGTCCCTGCTCTTTCTGTCAGCGCAGGGCAAAGAGAAGAGGGTTTTGCGGAGGTGACGGTAGTCAGAAGAGGTGGTAGAGGACCAGGGCCTTCAAGGAGTCATGACCGAGACAGTGTCAGAAGCCCACCTTATGTTCAATCGGTATGCCCCTTACAGAAAACCGTGACCCTGCCCCCAGGGCCGGGCGTTCACTGCCAGGCCGCACGTGCTGCCCGCAGGATGAAAAAAGAGCCGGCGATGGGGGTCGGGTGATGGGTTCTGGCCTCCGAAAGGCTTGCTCACGTGGACATTTTGTTTGGGTCGAAATATGAAGAGTCACACGATTGCCACACTGCACAGCTGCTGGCCTCTGCTGTGAGTGCAGAAACAGTTCATTATTTTTCTGGATTCCTGAGTGCAAGATTTTTATTTAAGGAGTCAGCAGACCAGGAAGTCGTTGTCAGGGACAATGCAAGTGGTAGACATTTCATCCCTTAGAAGTCCAGAAGCTGAGAGGACAGCGTGAACACCTGGGCGGCAGGAAGTCGACCATTGGAGAGTCTGGGTCAAGTCCTGTGTGCGGGGCATTGGCCACTGTGGGCAGAGGGCAGGGGAGAAGGGGGCCAAACGTGGGGTCTGCTGCCTTTACAGCCAGTGTGATTATGAAGATGAGTCTCCTTCAACTCTTTAAATACGTTTAAATTAATAGGAGGGGAAGAAACAAACAAGTAAAACAATCAGCATTTCCTTCTGAAACCATTCTTATAGTCATCTGTATTGAAGAACCACCTTATGGTCCTTTTATCGAGCTCTGGGCTCTGTGCAAAGTGTGTATGTACAGGCAAGGTGGAGATGAAATTATCTTTTATGTGATTTACAAGAAAGGCCTTTGGGAGCTCACATCTCAGAGTCTAAACTTCACGGAAATCCCATTTCTAGAAAATGCAGTGCTGCTCCCAGGCACCCACCGATGCTCCTTTTTCCCTCCAGGAAGCGGTGTTCTGTCGGTTCCGCTCGCAGAAGACCTGGCAGCCAAACGCAGGCCCCGAGGAACCGGCCGTGCCTCTCTTACCCTTTTCCATCGTCCTTCCAGCCCGGGCCCCTCTGTGGTGGTTGCATCACAGCTACAGGGTTGCTGTGCAGAGTCCTTGTGAGGCTAAGTCCTTCTGTCCTCAACGCCTGCCACCTGCTCCTGGCAGGC